GTGGCTGGTATTACTGCATGGAGTGCCGTTAAATAAATAAATAAATGCATATAAATAGAAATTCCCTTCCAAGGGGTAGATTTCTCTCACTTCCTGTTGTCTCATCCCCTTTCTTAACTATGAGTCATTTGTAAGTCAGATGTTTGTAATACAGTTTTGATACTTCTTTCCTAACAGCAATGTTCCAAAAATTGATGCCATTAGAGTAATAGTATCAAACTGCCCTTTATTTATAAAACTGACTCACTAATAAGTCTTTCAAATCCTCCTGATGTCCTGTCTAACCTAGGAATACATAATTAATAAATTTATACCAACTTCCTATATTATTTTTATATTGATAAGGACCACTCTGTTGAAAAATTGGTATGATAAAGACCCCCTTGGCACCCAAGAAAATAGATATAATGCTTTGCCTCCTACTTCTTGAACTATCGATTGCCAGGTACAAGCCTTGAAGCACTCTTTTTGGAATTCCTGCATGGGGTTTTAAAGTTGAGTTGCAAATAATATTTTGTATTCTTGTAAGTTAATTAGGTTAACAGGTGTGTGTGTGTGTGTGTGTGTGTGTGTTTGTATGCACTTTTTTATCTTTTAATGGTCCCCAAAGAAAACCATTAAGTGTATGCCACTCTGAGTCGCCTTCGGGCTGATATGGGCGGGGTAGAAATAATGCAAATAAATAATAAATAAATATGCCGAACACATCATGCGATGTGCGGGGCTTGATGAATGCAAGGCTGGGGTTAAAATTGCTGGAAGAAACATTAACAACCTTAGATATGCAGATGATACCACTTTGATGGCCAAAAGCAAGGAGGAACTGAGGAGCCTTCTAATCAAGGTGAAAGAAGAAGTGCAAAAGCTGGGTTGCAGTTAAACATAAAAAACCAAGATTCTGGCAACAAGACTGATTGATAATTGGCAAATAGAGGGAGAAAACATGGAGGCAGTGACAGACTTTGCATTTCTAGGTGCAAAGATTCCTGCAGATGCAGACTGCAGCCAGGAAATCAGAAGACGTTTACTTCTTGGGAGGAGAGCAATGTCCAATCTTGATAAAATAGTAAAGAATAGAGACATCACACTGGCAACGAAGATCCGCATAGTCAAAGCGATGATATTCCCCGTAGTAACCTATGGATGTGAGAGCTGGACCATAAGGAAGACTGAGTGAAGGAAGATAGAAGCTTTTGTGGTGTTGGAAGAAAATTCTGAGAGTGCCTTGGACCGCAAGAAGATCCAACCAGTTCATACTTCAGGAAATAAAGCCCGACTGCTCATTGGAGGGAAGGATAGTAGAGGCAAAGAAGAAGGACTTCGGTCACATCATGAGAAGACAGGAAAGCTTGGAGAAGACAATGATGCTTGGGAAAATGGAGGGAAAAAGGAAGAGGGGCCGGCCAAGGACAAGATGGATGGATGGTATCCTTGAAGTGACTGGCTTGACTTTGAAGGAGCTGGGCGTGGTGACGGCCGACAGGGAGCTCTGATGTGGGCTGGTCCACAAGGTCATGAAGAGTCGGAAGCGACCAAATGGATAAACAACAAATTTATTTGCTGAAATATATTGAAGTAATTGTAAATATCAAATAATCTTTTTCATTACCCTGAGATCTTGGCTCTTTTCTATATCCTGCAAGGAACAACATCACAGTTGTGCTGGTATGGCTGTACCAGGAGCTCCAACTTTATTTGCTTTGTATGAATGTTTGCTTGCAGTCCAAGGTTTCAGGGATTCTGCAGAAAGGTGGCTTCCTTTGGTTGCAGTCGTAGGGGCAAGTAACCTGTCCATCATCGTTAAGTTTTGGTTCCGCCTTTTGTTCAGGGCAATTGGGAAGGGAAGGGAGCCATTTTAGTTAGTCTCAGTAAGGAAAGCTAATTTGGAGGACATGTACAAGCTTCTCCTGTACAAAAGCTTCAACCCTTAAGACTTTCCGGGGGAGAACAGTCTTAAGAGCATCCAAAGATTTCCAAAGATTTCCAGGGAAGCAGCCCTAAAGCTTTGAGGAATTTTGGAGGGTAAACAGTTTGGAAGACCAAAGAACTCCAGCTGGAGAATCTACTGGCCTTACTGGTAGGTCCACTCAGTGCTCGAGATGCAGTTCGACCCGGTAGCGGAGCCCACATCAGTAAGGCTTAGATTACAGTCAGCCTGGAAGAAGTTTCCTTAAAGTAAAGAAACAGTTATTGAAGACAATTGCCTGTCCCTTGTGGACATGGTTAGGAAGCCACCAGTTGCATAAAGGCCTGGAAGCATTTGTTTAACTTTATTGAAGACAAGAGAAGTTTCTCTTTGATTGTTCATTAATAAAGGACTTTGTTATACTTCACAAGCCATCTAAAGACCATTTGTGGTGGAAAATCCTTGAGAACTTCTCTTCGGGGGGCCCTGGCTTCCCGCTGGGCTCAAGTTGCACGTCCTATTTTAAAGGCAATTCTTTACAGGCCCAGCGCGTGACAAAACAACAGTATATAAAAAGTTAACAGTGGAAGAAGTTGCTGAGGGAGGGAACGGTCCTAGCAAAGGGAACAAATGCCAGTAAATGCAGTCACCATTACCGAGGTTGATTACTGCAGTTGAAAGTGAGGATTAAGGGATTTGACCAAAGCTGCTGAGAAAAAGTGAGTATTGCAGTGGGATCAGGAGGATTGAAGAGGTGGTCCTTCATATAGATGAGTCCAGAGAGGTTTTCCTGGTCTTAATTGAGACAGCAAGATGAAGCAAGTTTGTGAAAATTAGCAGAATCATTTAAATGAGATGATAGCAAGATTGGAAGAATCAAAATTGTGGTTAGGAAAATTTCTGGAAATAAGGTGAGAAAGATTAGACTTGGCAGACCTGTGAAGAGGACTTTGAAGGTAAAGATAACTCAACATGAACAGGGAACAAATGGCTACATGAGGATTTCACTCTCTTTGTAACCTGCAGAAATTATTCAGGGAAATGGCAGGGGGTCAGCTGGAATTGCCTCCCCGCAATTGTGTTTTGGGCCCCAGGAAAATGCCACCAAACCACATGTGGTCCATATGTGTGCTGGACTGCAAGAAACCTTTGTTTTACTTGCTTTATTCAGGCTTCAACATTTGGAACTTGTTTGTGCTTGTCCTCAGTACTGTATCTGATTGGGAAATGACAGGGTGGAATGCTTCCACTACAAAGAAGTGTGAAAAGTGACAAGTACATATGTGGCAACTTGGATGGTAGAAACAGAAGTTGAGTTAACTTTGCTGCATTTTAAATTATTTATGTTTAATCTTGAAGCAATGCTTAGTAAAGTGTTAACTTAGAGCCATGTTGACAGGAGATCTTTAATTACACCGATACGACAGTATCATATCATCTGAACACAAATCTTCAGGGATTTTCATTTTAATGTCTCATTTCTTCAATGTATGCTGTAGTTTGCTGCACGGAATTGAATTTGAAATTTAGCACCCAGTTCCTGAATTTCAAAGCAATGTTCACTTTAGTGCATAATATTATTTATTCAGACATGAGTCCGGAACACTTGATCTCATCTAATCTGTGAACTGGTCCTGAAGTCACTGTGAATGAGGAAGAGTTTAAATATCGATACTTCAGTATGCTTCATTTTTAAAAAATATTCTGACTTGCGTTGATCAATGTTGCCATCTCATTCTGTTTATGGGCCAATTAAGTAGAATGTTATCCTGTATTGTATTCTAAGTTTTGCATCTCCAATTGTATGTGTTTGTGTCAGAATCTCCCATTATGTCTATGTGTGTTTCTTTGTGTGTCATACTCCCAGGCACATGTGTAGAGCTGTGAAATGGATTTGACATTTTATTTATTATTATTATTTCCGGTATTTCTACCTCATCTCTTCTCTACCCCCGAAGGAGGACTCAGGATGGCTCACATTTGGCAATGATTCGATGCCGCTAGATATAAACAATTACAATAATAGCACAATAATTAAAATACATAAACATTAATTAAAACAGTACATAAAGCATTAATTAAAACAATAAACAGTATCATCAGCTGAAACCCCTTTCCAGTCAATTTCCACCCAAAGTGCTAAATTATGTCTGCTGTCCAAAAGCCTGGTCCCAAAATGACGATTTCAATTTCTTCCTGAAAGCCAGGAGGGATGAAGCCGATTTTATCTCATTTGGAAGCACGTTCCACAGGCAGGGGCCACAACCGAGAAGGCCCTGTCTTTCGTCCCTGCTAAATGCATTTGCAATGTTGGCGGGAGCAAGAGCAGGGCCTCCCCGAATGATCTTAAATTATGAGGTGGGACATAGAGGCAGATGCGTTCGGACAAGTAAACTGGGCCAGAACTGTATAGAGCTTTATAGATTAAAACCAGTACTTTGAATTGAGCTCGGAAGTAGACCGGCAGCCAGTGGAGCTGACATAACAGGGGGGTGGTATGCTCTCTGCATGTTGCTCCAGTTAGTAATCTGCCCATTGGACTAGTTGGAGTTTCCGAAGGGTCTTCAAAGGCAGCCCCACATAGAGTGCATTGCAGTAATCTATTCGGAATGTAACCAGAGTGTGGACGACCATAGCCATATCAGACTTCCCAAGGTACGGGCGCAGCTAGCACACAAGACATGTATCGTTGCAGCTTGGAAGGGATAATATATCTACTCATAGAACTCCAGACATTGGGTAAAGGGATTCCAGGTGATTCACTGACCAGACACATACTACATTAGGTTCAATAAGGTTGGTGCATCACGTGTAAGTCCTGCCAGCATCTCTTGTCAGTGTTTCCCCTCCCCACTCCACATCCTAATGCCAAAATAGGTTTCAAGGCGACCGTAAGTCTAAAGTTTACGGAGGGGTCCGGATCAATGGCCTTGGAGGGTCACATCCCAATCTTAATTTGGGGACCCCTAGTTTCATGTGTTGAAATATTTCCAATACTTACTCCAGGACTAGTCACAGCCCTTTTTGTTGAGCTGCATTTGCATTGCTTTTATTCAGACTGATGTTGACTAATGCAATTTTCTCATCCCTGCAGGTTAGGCCAAAGACCCTGATTCCAGAGAGCCTCCCAATTTCTCCATGCAGAGACCAACCTTCCAAACAACCCCCGACGTTCCAAAAGGCAACTGTAGTCAGCATCAAAAACCCTACTCCCGCCCTTCCTACTGCCAATAATACTGTTAGCCATGTACAGCCTCCCAGCAGTCAGTCGCAAAGTATCGCTGAGCCGACAGCTCTTTCCTCACCCCTGAGCAGTGCTGGCGTGGCCTATGCCATCATCTCCACAGCACCCAGCAATGCAGCTCCCATCAGCAACAGTGCTGCTGTCTCCGTGGTCAGTGACAGCATTAAAGTCCAGCCACTCCTCATCAGTGCTGACAGCAAGGTAGGTTTTGTTTTTGAATGGAGTTCTTGCTGCAGTTTTAGTATGGAAACCATCTTGAGTTGTGCTTTCAAACTCTTGGGATTTTTCGTTCTTCAGTAAAAATTCTTCATGTAAAATTGTGAAAAAAACAATGGGAAATGGGTGGGTGGCCAACTGCAAACTGTGGGGTATAGTTTTCAAGCAGGTGTCATTGGTGTAACCCAGTATTCTTACAAGTGATTTCATGTCACATGGTTTCATTTTTGGCCTATTTATTTATTTATTTATTTATGACATTTATATGCCACCCTTCTCACCCCAAAGGGGACTTAGAGTGGCTTACAATACAATATATTATATTATTAGCATAATACAATATCAGTATTATATATTACTATATTGAACTATACCATTATATTTTAATATTATTAGTAATATTACATGTAATATAAAATATTTAATTATAATATCATATTATTAGTAGTATTATATTATATTACATTATAATATTTTAAATATTATATGTATATACAATATATTATATTATACTATACTATATTATATTATTAACATAGCACAGGAGACAAGATGGAACTGTTCCCTCTCTTCACTCTGGCCAGTATTTTAGGGATTTTTTAAAAAAATGTTTGAGTTGAGGCAAAATTATATCAGCTTTGACCCATTTTGGTTGGCTTGGTGTGTAAATTCGCCCAAAATATAAATTTGAGGGCTCTGGCATTCGTGTAGGTATTTTAAGACAGCCAGCTGAGGCTACATGATATTATGAATGTTACTTTGCCCATGCCTATATTATTGAGAAGGAATGTTTTTTTGTGGGACCACCCCTGTTTCACAGTGTGTTCCCACTGAAATGTTTGGGAATTGGTGGTAATAAAAACATCTGATGGCATCAATGGAAACCCTGCAGGCAAACTCATTAATTCTCATTTGCATATGGAAGTCAAGGTTATCTTTGGCTGTTTCAGACATTTTTGTCTTATAAGAATTTCCCACCAGAGTCTAAACTGTAGTCGTAGTCATCCTGCCCCTTTGCCAACCTTTTCGGCATTTCATAATAATAATAATAAATAATAACACTTTATTTGTATTCCGCCCTTCTCACCCCGAAGGGGACTCAGGGCGGATCACAGCACATGTACATGGCAAACATTCAGTGCTGCTTTGTAGAGACAATGCACAGACAGACAGAACAGAAGGAGGTGGTTTGTTTCAGCTGTTTTTGGTGCCATGGAAGGATGAGCTTGAATCCAGGGGGTGCTGTTGCTTTATCCTGATTAACGAAGAACCGTCAGGATTTCCTCCTTCCTTTTGGTCACCCAGCATTTTCTTTATGGCGTCGTAAAACACCTCCCCTGCTTTTAGCGGTACCTAATTTCACTAATCACAGCTAAAGCTGTTTCCGAATTGCTTAGGTAAACAATGAGCTAGGCTAACAGTTGGCAGCTCATGCCAGCTCGGGGCTTCGAACTTGCAACCTTTAGGTTGATATATCTTATAATTGCTGATGATTTACCAGCTGTGCTAAACCTCTGCCTGCTTTTCTTAGCTAGCAGAAATATACGTTCTGTTATGACCACAATGTTTTCTTCAGAAGAGCCATATCCCTCTGCCCTCACATCAGCTCAAGCTACCCTTTTCAAGTTTATTTTAGTCGGTCTCATCTCTTTTTTAATCTAATTGTTTTGAGCTCCCTGTAATACAGTATTCTTTTCCCAGGGTTCATCCCGATCCATTGTGAGGTTCTAATCCCAGCCATTCTTTCCATGTATTTAGGGTGGACTGTAAAATATTGAGTTATTCCCAGTGTTTACAGTCAGTTCTAGCACACTAGCTAAGTCAGTCAGTGTTAGATGCCTCACTACAGAAAGTACACTAAACTCTGGATCCTTTGTGGAATAAATTGCATGCAGTAAGTTCCCCATTTTACTTATATTTTGTTTAGAAACAGAGCTTCTAACATAATCCATAAAGAGGCAAATTTAAATCAATAAGCTATTTAATGCTGTGTAGTGGCTTCTTCAGTTTTGCGGTTCTTAACACTGAGTCCAGTAAAAGTTAAACACATACAATAATATTGACTGTAAAACACAGGTACAAAAAAAACAGTTAAAAAGATATCAGTGCAATGAATCTGAGACACTCCTTGCCTCTCTGCATGAAATATACCGATATGTCTGGCTGACAAAATTTCCATCCTCAGCAATAGTCTTCATAATCTAACTTCATGCCTAGATCTTAATTCTCAGAAAGGTTCATAGGGGAGAAGATGCTTAATGTAGATAACCATTTATAGACCAGTAAATTGCTAATTTTATTGTATTGTTTATAAATACTATTTGTGTACATAAATAGCTGTTGTTTCCATATTTAGTATAGCTTTGGGGCATGTAGCTGTTTATTTCATACAGTAAAACAACTTACGTAATACTCGCTTACGAATTGGACTGGGATTCTGAGCATATGCGAAACATTTTTAAGCACAGCCGAATCACTGAATCTTCTCTGATTCTCCATATCCTATCAAGAAATTAACATTCAGGAAGCACATGTTTTACTTACATAATTTAATTGGGGGGTGGGGGAGGTCTAGTTCTGTGTAGATTTTTTAAAAAGAAAAACACAAGACATGAGGACATGATTTAAATTAGTTGTGTCACTTGTCTCCAAACTCCAACCTTACCAAATCTCTCAAAAGTGCATGGATTACATAAAAAGTGGAATAATTTAAAAGCAGGAGGGGAGGGAGCAAGAGGGGAGGGAGAACCCAAGAGGTTTTTTTTTTGTCGTGTCAGGAGCGACTTGAGAAACTGCAAGTCGCTTCTGGTGTGAGAAAATTGGCCATCTGCAAGGACGTTGCCCAGGGGACTCCTGGATGAATTGATGTTTTTATCATGTCCCCCCGCATGAGGAGCTGGAGCTGATAGAGGGAGCTCATCCGCCTCTCCCCGGATTCGAACCTGCGACCTGTCGGTCTTCAGTCCTGCCGGCACAGGGGTTTAACCCACTGCGCCACCGGGGGCTCCAACCCAAGAGATAAAAAAATGGGGCAAGGAAAACTTTCAATTCCATTATCAAAGTGTCTAACCCAGGGGTCCTCAAACTAAGGCCCGAGGGCCAGTTGTGGCCCTCCAAGGTCAACAACAATCCTATCTCATCAGCCAAAAGCAGGCCCACACTTTCCATTGAAATACTAATCAGTTTATATTTGTTAACATTGTTCATCATTTTAATTATTGTATTGTTTTAAAGTCTTTTTTGGACTACAAATAAGATATGTGCAGTGTGCATAGGAATTCATTCATGCTTTTTTCAAATTATAATCCGGCCCTCCAACTGTTTGGGGGACTGTGACCTGGCCCTCTGTTTAAAAAGTTTGAGGACCCCTGGTCTAACCTGAGATGCGCAATAATACACTGAGCAAACAAAAATTGATTGCAAATTAATTCATTAGAGCAAACCCAATAATAATATACAAGGTTGTATAGTATACAAAAATATACAATAGAATCCAGATTTTTTTAAAAATAAGAAATTATATACAAGGGGAACTGAGGAGTCATAATGCACTTCTCACCACCACGAAAGATATGGAGGCCAAGGAAAGTCAGGTACATCATGCCATTTAAGGGCTTTCTGTCAGGGGCTGTGGTTGCTTGAGGATGTAGAAAACACATCACCACCCATTCCAATCCAACCGAAGTCTCACTGTTTCTTCTTTTCTCATCTTCACTTGCTCCCTAGAAGAATTACTTCCCAGCCATTCTTCTACTATGATTTCTAGATGCTTTTCCATCTCTTCCAATAGCGAGCTTGCTGTCCTATGTATCTCGCATACAGTTTTTTGGCTAGAATTTCCTTCTTGTGTACCTAAGTGTGTGGGTGTAACCAATGTGGAGGGTCTGAAGTTGTCACTTCGGCTACAGGCTTTCTTGTCAGATCTACCAGAAGACCCACCAATCCCAACAAACTGTAATGTTCTAAAAATAATTAATCTGTTGTTGCACATGATTGACGTCATTGTTAATCAGGTCACATTCTTGAGAAAAATGGAATGTGTTAACAATTTAGCAAGCTAATTAGCTAGTATTTGTAAGCTCTGGAAATGCATACTCAAGCGCATCATACCAGTTGGATATTGTACATAGACAGAATACATAGATGAAAAAGAGAAATTTAAAAACTACCTTTGAAACAGGATTTGAAAGGAAATTATGTTTTTTCTGTTCTTTTGATATTTTGTTTTGGAGATTTTATTCATGGCCTATTGCATTCATAAGAAACTCACTGGAGTTCAGATCAATGAAACTGAATAATATTTCTTCTGTTTGTAGACATTGTAAAGACATTAAGCCATTATTTCATGTACTTTATCATTGTATTGCCTTTACACAAGGGTATAATTGATTTAGAGCAGGGGTCCTCAAACTTTTTAAATAGAGGGCCAGGTCACAGTCCATCAAATTGTTGGAGGGCTGGATTATAATCTGAAAAAAACATGAATGAATTCCCATGCACACTGCACATATCTTATTTGTAGTGCAAAAACACTTAAAAACAATACAATAATTAAAATGAAGAACAATTTTAACAAATATAAACTTATTAGTATTTCAGTGGGAAATGTGTGCCTGCTTCTGGCTGATGAGACAGGATTGTTGTTGTTGTTGTTGTTGTTGTGTGTTTTTAAGTCGTTTCAGACTTAGGTTGACCCTGTGCGCGGGCCGGGTAAATGACCTTGGAGGGCCGTATCCGGCCCCCGGACCATAGTTTGAGGACCCCTGATTTAGAGTGTCCTATTTTACAAAGCAAATAGTATTGATTCTCATACTAAGCATTTCTTTTATATGTTGTTTTACAGGTTATCATCATTCAGCCTAAAGTTCAAACCCAAACAGAAAGTAAGGTGGAGATTAAGAGACCTTCTGAAGAGTCAGTTCAGGGACCCCCTGCTACCAAAAAGAAAAAGGAGGAAAATCCAGAGGTTAGTTTTTTATATATACTTGATATACATAAAGGTGCTGAAAAGGCATTCTTACCACAAAGGTTAGGTGTATAAAATAGTTTATTGTGATGGATAGGTGGTGTGACCTTACTGGAGGGATGTGCTTCTTCAAATTGAACAATTTAATCAGTTTTCTCTCCGCTACGAGAATGTGTTTGAAAACTACGCAGTCTTCACAACCCTCCTGCTCTTCGACATGGTTGTCTTGGAAAGAAGGAGTTGCTGAGCAAGGAATCTCACCACTGTCCCCAGTTGTGTTTTTTTCCCCCTGAAATTCCAAAAAAATGGGCCAACTTCACCTGGCTGCAGCTATTTTCTTGTAACATAGAAAAAAGTGGGCAGGCCGTGTAGCAGCTTCCAAAAGGGGAATACTTTACAGTTAAGTGAGAAGAAGTGGAAATTGCTATGTTCTTCTGACATGAATAATGGCTCAGGTGCCCTCAACCCTCTTGTAGTCAACTACAGGAGTGGAGGTGGGGGCAATAAAAAGACGATGCTTGGTTTTGGGGGCATTAATATCCTCAAATCTCTGAAAAATTGGGAGATGAAAAGGGGTCTTCAGAAGTATTCTCATTTAGTTTTTCCATCAGGTGAGATGTCCATTTTTTGCATTTGTTTGTTTTCCTTGAATATTTGAATATTTTTGCTGCCCCTGCCTTGTTAGTTGCTTTACTTCATTTAAAAGGTTTTGCCAACTACAACTTTATAGTTAGCACAAGGATGGGCTAAGTGCAATGTTTGGGCCCCATGTGGCACCACAGGCTGTTTTTGTAGCTCAAATAGAGTAAATGCTTTTGCTTCAAAATGACCACTAGGGTCATAGAGACCATTCCCGCTATGTTTTTAAAATCTATTTTTAAACATTTTAAACATCAAAATGACTATACCTAGGAACGCCCCAGAATATGGTGAGAATGATCCAGTGTCTCCAAGAGGGAATTTGGAAGATTTGTGGATGTTGTGGAGATGCAGCCCTCCAAGTCTCCTAGATCTTTATGGTTGCCACTACTGAGTTAACATATCAGCAGAATACATCTACTGCAGATACCATTTTGCCTGTATCCTAACCACTCCCTCCCTTTGCTCCAGGATCCCAGAAGCATATGTATTTACCCAGGCACATCTTAAGTTTGTATTGTGTTGTCTATTACACTAGTTTCATCTGATTTTACCAAACCTATTATTTAATCAAGTTTTAAGTGCTTAAATGTATTTTAGCTAATTATTACAGGAGTGTTAGGATAAGGATTTGTGTTTATTGTTTCTTTGTATACTTCTGCTGTTTATTGTTGATATGGTCAGAGGACTAATCAATAAACAAAACTATCAATCTACACTAGTTTCTGAATGAACCAGTAGATATTTGTCCTCTAGCATTTAAGATAGTCATATGAACCTATGGAGCATCAAGAAAAGTTAATTTCACAATATCTCATGATGGATAAATAGCTCAGTTTCCACCTATTTTGGGGCACCGGAGAACTGACGTGGAAGCAAAGATGAGTGCATTCTTCCTGAACCCAGTTATTCACTATGGACCTCATCAGATGGGTGGTTTCCCTGTCTCAGTGCGCTGCTGGCATGTTGCCGGGCCAGAGTTTGCCGGAGCCCATCAGTTGACTCCGGGCTACTTCCAGCGGGACTTGTGCATCGTACCAACAGCACACAGAGCTGGAGCCCTAAAGAATTGGTTGACTACCTGACTCATAGATTAGAAGAAGCCTTGGACAACACAGAAAGAAGCAGAGCACAGTGGGAAAAAGTTGTGGGATGGCAGCCCACAACCCACAAAAGTAAGGGGACAAAGTGGAATGCTGTACCTGGCTTCTGGATCTCCATGTGATGAGGTCCTAAGAATCCTCTTGAGAATTCACAGTGTTTATGTAATTTTATTTAAAATACAAATGAATAGCATTTTGAGAATTAAAATGTAACTGAAGCTATTTATATAACCGCAGCCTGTTATATAAATAGCTTTTTTTTGCTGTGAGTCGCCTTCGGGCTGAGAACAGCGGTATATAAGTAAGGTAAATAAATTTTGCGGCTCATGCTAGATATTTTGATGAGCAAATATAGGAATGAAGTACTGAATTTTAATCAAACATAATATCATGCTTGCAATGAAGCTGTATGTGATGTCACCAGCCTAACTGCATGTAGATTACACTTGATGCTTAATCCAGTTCTAGTGCAAGATGCACTCTGGTTGAGGTATTCATGCTACTTCAGTTTCTCTGCAAAATGTTCTATAAACCCAAGTTTTAGTGTTCGCCTTAGAAATAGTCTAAAATTTACACAGCTAATAAACTTGTGCCAAGATACAATTCCTGGAGCAATAAGTTTTAAGAACAACCCTTAAACAATATAACTGTAGATCTTCTTGGAAATACTTGTATAAATGAAATAGTAAAAAGGGACCTAATATTATGAGATAGCAAAGAGTATTTTAGAGAAGGAGATCATGAAATGGTACCCTGTTGCTACTACCCAAGTTGGGTAAGATTAATAGCTGCCATTGCAAGGGTGCCTGCACAGAATAGATTTCTGCTAGCTGAAATCACATAATACATAAATGATTTTAGCTTTTAGTCATACCTAGCAACTTCACTATTACTTTTTCATTGGAAAGTAATCGCAGTAATAGCTGTAATAAACAATCCATTATTTAACCATTTTGTTAGCGATCTTTTTTATTATTAATCTTATTTGTTACAATACAACATTTTATAGAGTATTCTCTGTGTTGTAAATACTTCATATTTATTAGCCTAGCAATCCTTACAAAAAAAAAATCAGTTTAAATCCACAGGAAGCAATGTCTTAGTAGCCCAAATGAAATTAAGCAAAGAAGGGACAGTAATATATTTAGGAAAGGTTTGAGACTACCTAATAGATTCATGACAGTGGTGGGACTTGAGAGGGTGGGAGGAGAAAAGGACTGTTTTGGTCAGTAAATGAAATTTGCAGATGATATTGTAATCACTTATAGTAGTAGAAATTATAATGGGAAGGAATGCAATAAAAAACAAGAATGTAGTGACTATACATGCTTTAATGATATATATGTAAACTATATAATATATATATAGATGAAGTACTTTGGCCACATCATGAGAAAGCAGGAAAGCTTAGAGAAGACAATGAGCTTGGGAACATGGAAGGAAAAAGGAAGAGGGGCCGACCAAGGGCAAGATGGATGGATGGCATCTTTGAAGTGACTGGATTGACTCTGAAGGAACTGGGGGTGGTGATGGCCGACAGGGAGTTCTGGCATGGACTGGTCCATGAGGTCACGAAGTGTCAGAAGCGACTGAACGAATAAACAACAACAAATATAAACTTGCTGGACTAACATGACTACTTGATTACGTTTGATATTTCAGTGCTTCTCCAGATTTTACATAGGAATTCCCTTTCCAAAATCAGAAAAGACATTTGGTAATTTTGATTTTTCTCTCTCTCTCTCACACACACACACATACACACACATATATATACACATAGACATACACACACACATATAATCTGTTTTGTTGTCTAAAATAGCCCAGTCCATGCCCCAAAACCGAGTGGAATTTCCAAACCCCTTGGAGCACATGTGTTAAATGTAAGGCCCATGGGCCAAATTTGATCCAACACATCAATTTATGTCACCCACAAGGCTTTCAATGACAGGGCAACATCATTACATTTATAGTCTTACAATTCCAAATGTCCCTTTGAAGGCAGCCATAATGCTGATGTGACCCTCGGTAAAAATGAGTTTGATACACTTGCTTTAGAGCAGGGATCTTCAAACTTTTTAAACAGAGGGCCAGGTCATAGTCCCTCAAACTGTTGGAGAGCCGGATTATAATTTCAAGGAAATTGAATAAATTCCTATGCACACTGCACATATCTTATTTGTATTGCAAAAGCACTTAAAAACAATATAATAATTAAAATGAAGAACATTTTTAACAAATATAAACTTACTAGTATTTCAGTGGGAAGTGTGGACCTGCTTTTGGCTGATGAGATAGGATTGTTGTTTTTGTAGTGTGCTTTCAAGTCATTTCAGACTTAGGTTGAGTGTGAGTATTTTGAAGCAATTCAAAGTATTTTTAAGATTAAATGGCTGTGCCTTCTGCATATTAACGTGGAAGCACGAGAACAACAGGAGTGTTAGTTCTGTCGGATGTCGCAGTTATCGGGCAGCAGAGACTCAGATCTGCTTCTTTGTCTTCCTTTGTATATGTATGCTAAAAACAAATATTATAGCTTTCGCATTTGAATACATAGGCCTTGCTTCAATTTATTTTGTTTTCTGAGTAAGCTTTAGTTGATTAACATGCATTTATGCAATTAGTATAATTAAGACTAACTGAGTAATTAGCGTAAATGCATGTAAAGACAACTAGAACATATAATTACAACACAAAATGTTCTTTTTAAAAAGAAACTCCTTATTGAATTATGCCGAGAGATGTACGGCTGATTTCTTAAGGCACAAAGAAATGGATATCTTCAGTGTCTAAAGGAATGCTGAAAAACAGATCAAGCAGGCTAATGCTTTCAAATCAGAAGTTTAAAGAAGTAGTACGCTAGAAATAGCCTTGTTATCTGTAGTTGTAAAGAAATAAAATTCCATAGCGAAATATGCAACACAGTGTGCAACATGAATCAGTTATACACAGTGTACACTAGGTATGGAGTTAGTTATACGATTTGGAGGTTTCCGTAATTTGTGTTTTTCCCAGAGTAGCATTTCATCTTCACAGCAGCCCACCAGCGTTGGTCATGTCAAAAGCCAAGCTATGTGTTACAAGAAATGTGAGAGCAGCCACACGTCTTTCTCTCTAATGTCTGATGCTGGTGCCCTTGCGCTTTGGGGTTCCTCAACCCAGCTGCTCCATATTTTGGGAAAGGGGGCTAGCTCAGAAGCAGTCACGGATAGTCTGGATTTTTAAATTTAACTAGAAGAAGAGACAGAGGTATGTGACTGTTGTCTTCATAGCAATCACACACCTCTTTTGACATTTAATTCCAGCTGAGCTTCATGTGAAGTATATGGAGTCCTACACGTCCTGCATTCCATATCAGAAACTTTAGCCCAATGTTAATTTCTACTAACGTTGTTGTCAGAAATGTATAGCCGTCAATGGATTCATCAAGCCAAAGCAATGTGCCAGTGGTTTCACTCAAGACATAAAATATTTTATCATTTCTATTTTAGACTGTTAAAACAGTTTTACCGTATCTCATCTAAATAGGTGCAGTCTTTTGGATGCTTTCATTATTTTTGTTAAAAATAGGTCAAACCCGCACCTCCTTCCAAATATAAATCTACATAGGATTTAACTAATAGCTTCTTACAGATATCTATATAAATAAAAATGTAATGTTCGTTCGTGGGATTAACATCATTCAAAAACCAGTGGACGAATTGATATCAAATTTGAACACAATACACCTATCAGACCAACGAGTGACCATCACTCATAAAAAAAACTGAAAAACACAGTGGATAGGACTTAAAAGGCCAAAAAAGCAAAAAGATGCTACAGCGCAAATGCAAAAACGAAACACACCCCCGACAAACAAAACACACAATAGCATATCCACACTCACTTCTGGACTACAGCTCCCAGCATCCCCTAGACCAGGCCCTTTAGAAGAGGAGGAGGATCCAAATGCACTGCTCCCAAGATTTCTTTGAGAGCATCCCAATTCCTGCATATTTCCAATTTCCTATTCCTAGACTGCAACTCCCAGCAATCTTCCAGATTGATAGATTAGCTGGAGATAAGTAGGTAGGTAGGTAGATTGATCAGGAGGACTGCTTGGAGTTGCAGTCCAAGAATAGATAGAGAAGGATGGGGAGAAGGGGGAAGGGAAAGAAAAGGGGAGAGGAAGGGGAGAGGAAGAGAAGGAAGGAAAAAAGGAGAGAAGGAAAGAAAAAAGGGAAGGAAGGAAAGAGAGAGGGAAGGAACGAGGGAAAGAAAGAAGGAGAGAAAGTGGAAGGTTGGTCACAGCAATGAATTGCGGGTACAGCTAGTTTATTATAAATAGCTTATCATAAAAACTAACAAATGCCATGTTCAAATGCAAATCAAGTTTTTTGTCTTTCTCTATTTGAGAAAGAATGAAATTCAAAACAGTTGGATTATGGTAGAACCTAAACAGGACAGAATGTCCTTCCAGTCTCCTTCTTGCCTTCAGAGCTGCCTGTAAATCACTTCTGGGGGGACCCAAAGCAGGCCTTTTGGGGGAGCATTGGGGGGGGGGGCGTGTAGTAAGAAGGGAAGAACACAGCCTCCCACTTCTGCTGGATTCTGTTGTTCTGCCAAACAGAAATGCAGCAGTGGATTCTGCCTTCAGTTTTGGACAGATGATGAAGAAGAATGCATCTGAATATGCTAGTTTGTGGTTTCTCTTCTGAAAGGGCTGAATCAAGGACATCAGTTATTAAGAAGTTTGTGTTATTGTCATCTTGTACAAACCTGGACATTTTTTAAATTGCTGGAATTTTACAGTAATCAAAGTATTAAAAATGCCTTTTTCCCCTCTCTAGAAAATTGCCTTTATGGTAGCATTAGGCTTGGTTACAACTGAATACTTGGAAGGTAAGAATGCTTTTATTATTTATTTATTTATTTATTTATTTACTCCATTTGTATACCGCATTTATCAGCCTGGGACGGTGACTCAATGCGGTTTACAGTAAAATGTGCAACACTGACAATATATAAGACAGACATACACAAACAACACACATATAGTCATAACTGTCCTTTTTGTCAGTGGAAAACTTTATCTGGATGTTTGGTAATACAATTTACATTGATTGCTGGCATATGTCCCAATTCAGAAGCCAATTCAAAATCTAAGTGTCATAATTGCTGATCTCTGCAGAGGCCTAAGGTGGGGGGGGGGGGAAGAGATATAATACCTCATGGGCAATATTACATTCAATATACCTGTTTTCGTTTTAAGAAGTAGTAGCTATGGAGGAGGTTGATTTAGATCAGAATCACAATGTGGAGAAGTGATGTGGTTCCATCCTTTCCGCAAATTGTAATCCAAATAAATATTCTCCTCAAAGCTTATGTCTACCAAAAAGGGAAGCATGACTGTATTATTTCACAGACACTGTAGTATGGGTGGCAAGGCTTAAAACAAATTTACCACAGACCTAATCCTAATAATAATAATAATAATAATAATAATAATAATAATAATAATAATATATTTATATTCTGCTCTATCTCCCCGAGGGGACTCAGGGTGGATTGCAGGACACATATACGGAAAAACATACCATTATACAATTAACAAGGACAGACAATACATAAACAGAAGTAGGCTTTCCTATCTTTTCCATCTTAGGTTTAAGATCATCTGGAGAGGCCCTGCTCTTGATCCCACCGCCATCGCAAACGCGATTGGTGGGGATGAGGGACAGGGCCTTCTCGGCAGTGCCCCCCCCCCATTTGTGGAACTCTCTCTCCAGGGACAAAAGACTGGCCACTTCCCTCCTGTCTTTTAGAATGAAACTTAAGACTTGACTATGGGACCAGGCGTTCGGCCATTGAATAGCAGCAAGTGGAAAGAAGACTTAGGCATTTCTTGACAGTGAATTGACCCAGACTTGGATTTGGTTTTTAACTGGCATGTTTAATCAATTGTTTTTAAGTACCATATATTCTGGTGTATAAGACTACTTTTTAACCCAAGAAAATCTTCTCAACAGTCAGGGGTCGTCTTATACGCAGGAGTAGTCTTATAAGCGAGAGTGGTCTTATACACGGGAGTAGCCTTATACACAGGAGTAGTCTTATACGCGGGAGTAGTCTTATGCACGGGAGTAGTCTTATACACAGGAGTAATCTTACACATGGGAGTAGTCTTATGCACGGGAGTAGTCTTATAGAGCGGYTGCTGAAACTTCCAGTCGGATTGGAGAATCTGTGGTTGCCGCATATGGTGGGGGGAGRTCAAAAATGGCAATGACCGTGTCCCTGCCGTATGCAGCGACTGTATGAAAGCATTAAGGGCGGTGCTGCACAAGTACGGTAGAAGAAAATCCATTCATCAGGATTCGTGGACTTAATGCGGTCCCGATGGTGAGGTGAAGGGGCARCTCACCAGGAAGTTGTAAGTGAAGGGTGGAGCAAGCTGCAGGAGTCTGGGGCGCTCGGGGTATGGAAAAAAGAAATAGAGTGGCTCTGGGCCCAGACAAACACACCTCTTTTACCTGTCTGACCTCCTCCTCTGCCTCTCAGATCTCGCTCCTGAAGACTGCAGTGAAGCGGTGCAGGTGCACATGTGCGAGATCTGAGAGGCAGAGAAGGAGGTACAGTAATAGGAAAATTACCACATTGAAATCAAATCTGATGCTTTAAAAAAATTGGTGTGCATTGGAGGAGGGGTAGTCTTATATGGCAAATATATCCCAAACTCTACATTTTAACTGGAAAAGTTGGGGGTCGTCTTATATGCCCAGTCGTCTTATATGCCGGAAATATGGTAACTGTTTTAAGTAACTGTTCTAATGTATTTGTTGAATGTTTTATGATGGTGATGGCATCGTATGGTGCTTATTGTGAGGCCATCCTGAGTCTTCCCCCCAGGGGTGAGAAGGGTGGGGTACAGATATTGGAAATAAATAAATAAATCAGAAGGCTGTACTCCACTCTGGCCATGGAGTGGTGCTGTTGCTCCATCTTCCATGCGGAGGAGCTGTGTTGTCCATAGACATCCTCCCAATCAAATCGCCAGCATGTTCTGATGGGCACATTTTTATTACCTCCCTGCTGAAAGCGGTTCCTATTTATCTACTCACATATCTGTTTTCAATCTGCTGGTGGGCAGAATGTGGGCTGACAGTGGGAGCCTACCCTAACCAACCTCCAACTGCCAACCTTTTCAAGCGGTGGATGGTTGAATCAATGCATAGGAAGGACTGACCATACTTCTCTTTTCAAATATCCCTCAAATTTCTTTAAATGCGAAGTAACGAGGAGAACATAACATTTCAAAAGCTGTTGTATGCAGCATAGGATTTCTTGCCATTTACTTCGAAGTTTGCTTGTCTTGCAAAAAAAAAAACTTTTCATATTGTGGCAGAATTTTTGAAAATCATTTAATGGTAGGAGGAGCAAAAATGTAAAAGCAGTTCAAAAACTGTCAGACACCACCTTTTGTAATATTTTAATGGCAATATGTTGAAATGAATATTGTAAAGTGGCACATTTCTGTAATGAAAAAAGTACAAAATAATAATAATATAATAAAACTATTTATACCCCACCACCATCTCCCCAGGGCGGCTTACATGAGGCCAAGCCCAACAATTACAACAAAGCAAATATACAACATAAAATAATACATCAATAACATATAATGAAAATAATAAAAAGCAATACAAAATAAACACACAATATAATATAAAATCACAATAATTGATCATGATGGGCAGGGCTGGTTGCAAAGATTAAAATGTTTAAAAACTCTAGGTGAGATAAGTAGTGTAGTTTATCTAGAAGGAGGTTCAGTTGGGATGAAACAATGGGGTTTAATTGCACTAGAGGATGAGATAAAGTGTGTCGGAAGACATTTTGTGCAGGGTAATTCCTAATTTGTTTTATTTGTTGGATTTTTTTTCATATCATGATTAGGGCTATGCCCTAATGCATGAACACTTCTGATTATAACGGTGTTGAACATACCTGTAAACTCCAAATTTTACTCTTTTCCCTACATCAGTAGTTTAATCACGTTTCATTGTCCATAAATGATAAAAAAATAAAAGTGAACAATCTCAATAACATTTGAAAAAATTGGGTCCTACACATTATTGTAGAATAAAGGAGATGTTTAACTCCCTATTGTGACAGTCATGGATCTCTATGCAAATTGTCACTTCAATTGAAATTCCATGTTTTTCCCCCAATTAGATAAGAAAGGTAAAGAGAGCTCCTTTTTGGGTTGGCCCAGGCATCAAATGTTGAAAGATGCATTGCTAATAATATGGAGAATTATTTGTTATAGGTACATGAATGAAAGGTTATTAGATGTAATCGTGTTAGTGAGTCCCAACTGGAATAGACTCATTCAATGCATAGTTGTATGGTAGGTCAACGTGTAGCTAAATCCTATTAGTACAGTGGACTAGCAACAAAATTCAGGCTCCTGTTCCTGAATCCTTTGATTAAAAAGTGCCCTAAGAGTTAAAGTAATCTCCATCCCCATAGTTTTACATTGTAATTGGGTTTAAATTGCTGCATCAAATAGCCTAAACTTGCTGAAAGGTGGGATAATAAATAAACAAACAAATAAATTTAAGTATGATCTCCAAATTTGCCTACTATTTCCTAGCTCTCTTCCTTATGTTACTTATGGATTTCAGCAATTACAAAACATGAATTCCAGAGCTTTCAAATATTACATTTTTGGAGTCAAACTGTTCCATCCAGTTTGAATGGCTAGGGGCCACGGTAGCACAGTGGTTAAAGCCACTAGCTGCAGGAAAGGCTGCTGTTGGGGTGAGCTCTTGGCTGTCCCTCTGTGAACCGGTGTAAACTTTAAGATCTTCTGGGGAGCCCTCCTTTTACTCCCACCACAGTCACACGCACGGTTGGTGGGGACTAGAGAGAGGGCCTTCTCGGTGGTGGCCCCCCACCTCTAGAATGCCCTTCCTAGAGAAATAAGATAGGCCCCATCCCTCGCCTTCTTCCTAAGAGCCTGAAGACCTGGTTTTAAACAAGCCTTTGAGAATGACTAGTTCTAGCTCTGCCCCAGATACTGTTGAATATGGCCATATCTTTTTCTACCAATTACCCAGGTTACCTCCTCCTATTAGGCCCCGGAAATGAACAGCCATAGACTCTACCTAATTTCCCAGGGAGTTAGAGTGGTATATAAAAAAGTTTTGTTGTTGTTGTCAGTCCTAGCTTCTGCCAACCGAGCAGTTTGAAAGCATGCAGTGTGAGTAGTTCAATAGGTACCGCCTTGGTGAGAAGGTAAAAGGGCGCCCGATGCAGACATGTTGGCAAAAAGATTGGAGATGTCTATGGACAGCAGGCTCCTTTGGCATGGAAAATAGAACAACAGCACCTCCCCATGGGTAGAAGTTTAGCATGGCCTCCAGACGCCGGAAATGGAAAAAGAGGAAGGCCTTTACCTTATCTGTGTTATTGTATGTCATTGTTCATGTTAAAAGGTATTGAATGTTTGCCTTATATGTACTACAATCCACTCTGAATCCCTCTTGGGAGATAAAGCAGAATATAAATAAAGTGTATTAGGAGGTTCTGCTGCTTTGTAGTCCTATTTCCAAACTATTATTCATATGCAATCGGGCAGATGCATTGAAGCCAAACATTGGAAATTAAGTTCTAAGTAAAATTAAGCCTGAACAGTAACATTTATTGGGTCACTCATGTTGGAGCTAAACAATTTTCTTTTCAAATGAGCACACACAAAATAATAAACATTCCTAATTTGATTACAGAAATTCAGAGTAAACGTCAGGAAAGAAAGAGACGAAGCACAGCCAATCCAGCCTATAGTGGTCTCTTAGAAACAGAGGTATGACTCTAATCTGGTTGGTTTTGTTTTCAGCTTTGCTTCTGGGACCAGGGAGCCTAACGTATGGTAAAGATGTTTGAGGTCAACATTTTTGATTTAGGGCAAAATTCCACTTCATAACCTCACTAGTGCTTTCTGAATTATAATACCTGGCCCCAGTTCATAGAAACAGCACATCTCTCTTTCCTCCTTCTTACACTGCCAGTTCCTGCATAACACATAATATGGATCTGGAGACCTCAAGATGATTAACTAACATGTGTCTTAGGACTCTTAAACATGGCAGTCCACCAGAAATAAAAGAGAATCTATATCCAAACTTTCTGCTTCTAGGGATGAACAAAGACAGTGAGTGAGACGGAGAGATCCACTGTAGAAAACATTCTTCCAAAAGCAACAAGAGTAATCTGGGTGGAAGGGAGATCCTTTTCTTAAGTAAAGGGCATAATTTCTGTTCCTGTGTGAGTTATCAAGGTTCATATGCTGAGCCAAGGAATTATGAACATTACAGCATTTCTGTTGTGGTTCTAGATTCATCTTATGCTGTCTTGTCCATCGCTATGGAGTTCCATACCAAGAGTTGTAGCCGGTGATGTGAATATGCGAGATACTGTTTAGATAGTTGAAATGACTGATCAAGGCACTAGGATTATACTTCTACTGCAATGGCTACATCCTTTAGAATCTGAGATTTGTAGTTTGCCAAGGCACAAGAATTCTATATCCTTCTCCCATGGGACAGAATTATGGCAGTTGAGGTAGAATGATAGTGCTTTAGTTGTGCAGTCTGAAATAGTACCTGATACATGGCTATGCGGAAGTAGGAATTGTTTACATTGTCTTTTTGCATGCTTCAGGTTTATCATATGAGAAAGAATGCAATAAACTTGAAATGCGCCAACTTGAAATATTCCAGTTGTATGTGTGTAAGCGATTAGCTCTTGATCATAAGCTCTCATTTGTATTAGATAGAAGAAAATCATTAGGTAATTCTATTCCCATTATCACTTGGACTTTCTTCTCTTCTGTAGCGGAAACGTCTCGCATCAAATTATTTGAACAACCCCTTGTTCCTGACCACAAGAGGTAATATCTTCAAATTATTGTAGAGAATATATGCTTGAATGAAAATTGCAGTAAATTGGATTCTCTAGGATTTTGTATGAGTTAGTCAAATTGTTTGGAATTTTGTAAAAGTCATAAAATAAGAGAAAGAAGAACAACTAGTAGAAATAATTTCATTCAAATATCGAGGCATGTAAAAAAAAAACCATGGACATATACATGAATTATGCTGTACTGGATAAACCATTTGCTCTAGTTAACCCTTGTGATACAACAGGGTGCCTCATCTTTGGTATTTTTTACTAGGAAATTGAATTTCTGTTTAGTATTTGAAATTTTAATAACATAGAATTGTAATAGTAAATTTTGGCAGAACCTAGACTCGCACAAGCAAGCATGTAGCCCGGGGGGAGGGGGGTGGGCTTGAGGGGCTTCAGCACCCCCCCCCCCCCGAAATTCTCAGGGTGGTCCGCAAGAAGGCCTTACTGGTACATTATTTAAGCTGTTATGTTTATTCATATCATGATCTGATTACCATGCTCAATATATTCCATATGCATGGGGCTATTGGGATAATGATACAAAAGATTTGCTAGGGTAGATCCTCAGCTCCCCTTTGAATCAAACCCAGGCCCCCCTCTCCCCGAATCAAACTCAGCACCCCCCGAATCAAAATCCTGGCTACAGGCCTGGGCACAAGGTTTAAGCAATGCACACCTCAAATATTTCTTATATTAGCATTTTCTTCTTTTTAACTGACAAATTAATATTTCGCCTCATTGGTCACTAAAATAAATACAGTATATTCTGGCGTATAAGACTACTTTTTAACCCAAGAAAATCTTCTCAAAAGTCAGGGGTCGTCTTATATGCGGGTGTAGTCTTATGCATGGCTGTCGTCTTAACTCTATATTTTAACTGGAAAAGTTGGGAGTCGTCTTATACCCCCAGTCGTCTTATATGCCGGAATATACGGTACTCTCATGTTCTGAAATTATTCCCTTTCCTGATCCTAATTAACAGTTCTGATTTCTAAGGGTGCTTCTGGACAAAGTATTTTGTAGCTCATCAAATTACCTGTCCTAATGCATCTCCCCCTATGTACCATCGCGGAGATTAAGATCCTCCGGGGGGGCCCTGCTTTCCGTTCCGCCATTGCCACAGGCGCAATTGGTGGGGACAAGAGACAGGGCCTTCGCGGTGATTGCTCCCTGACTATGGAACTCCCTTCCTGGTGAGATCAGGTCGGCCCCCTCCCTCCTGTTCTTTAGAAGGATGGTAGAAACCATCCTTCTAAGCTTTCGGGACAGGGCAATAAAGCGGCAATAGGAAAGATGAACCAGGCCAATTGGTTTGACGCGGATGACTAGGACGTTTTAAATGGTGTATTTTAATATTGTGATACATGTTTTTTAATGTTTATGTATTATATGTGACTTTGAGTCCTGGCATTGAATGTTTGCCATGTGTATGCTGTGCTGCACCCTGAGTCCCCTTCGGGGTGAGAAGGGCGGAATATAAATGTTTTAAATAAATAATAAATAAATGGATGCGTGAACCCAGTTGATAGAATTGTTGTGAAAGAGACCGTCATTTAAAACAACAGTAATTTACATTTGTCAGTGTAAAGCATCTTGTCAACAAAGTATTCCTGCTGTGGGTTATGTGTAAATCCCTTCATTTTTCGTATTGACGGTGACTGGCTATATTTAAGTCTATTCTGATACTCATGTTTTGACAAAATTTTCAATTTTCCACATCTTTTGCCATTATTAGATCCGTTTCCCCTTCACTTTAAAATGAAAGTTTGCATATGCACACTATCTCATCATTGACAGCTCTTCTAATTGTTGTATCCACTAAGCTATTTCAGAAAAAGATCCCTCCCCTTGTGCAGTCCTATGTGGCAATCCTGTGTTCATCACATCAGATGTTGTTGTATGTATATGTTCAGTGTGCACAAACAAAAACAGGAAAGATTTACAAAGAATACAACACAATAAAGAGAAATATCGAACTGTTCAAAATGACACTGATAGCCTTAGATATTGTCTACATGGTCACCTAGTGTTATACCTAGTACTTGCGTACTACAACATTCTTGAGGATTTGAATTTAATTCCATTGCTTTCCATTCTTGAAAGCTTAAATATGAGTCAAAATATTAAGCTTTTACTCACAAATTTCAAGAAAACCCAGGTTATTTTCACTCTCAGATCTGAGTCAGCTTTGATGTTGAGCAGGTGGATGGAAAGCATAAGTAGATGGGAGGGTCCCCTGATCTTTCCCACCAGGAAGCACTTCTTGTTTCCAGTTTACTTTTGATAATAATATAATAATAAACTTTATTTATACCCCACCACCATCTCCCCCAACGGGGACTTGGGGCAGCTTACATGGGGCCAAGCCCAAACAAATTACAACAGTGTGGATATTGGTATTAGCACACCTCCATCTATCAGTGTTACAACACCAGCCACTTCGCTTTGCTTTTAGGGTGGCCAGTGCCCTATTGGAGCATCAAATAAAATGGAGACATTCATGTATTAATATTTGTGCATGCACGAGGAGAGAACCCCCACCCCACCCCACCCCTGAAGCAGCCACAACAGTGTCTCAGAAAATAATGTGAAGTATCAATGACATAATCATTGCCCACTGCCCTATAAGTGAGCTTGCGTAAGGAAATACTGCTCCCACTTCCATTTTGTATGTGGCATGAGACATCACTATGGACCAGGAGAATGAGAGTTGAAGATTTTTTTTTCACCTGTGTAGACAACACCAAAATAGCTTTAACCATTGACGCAGACTAGCTGAAGTCCCAACAGACTAGGCATTTAATCTCACTGCTACTAACATGTGTTCTGCATTTTTTCATAATGCTAGCAAATGAGGATCCATGTTGGAAGGTATGTTTGCTAACCATCATCTGCTCATATTGCTTCTTCATTGCATACTGGAATGTGTCTTATTCATTAGTAGAATGTCACAACTTTTACGTTGCTGCTGCTGTGGTAGAAGTACAGAAGAAACATGCTACTTTCTCTCTATTTATCTCAAACAGATGCTGGAAGATACTGAGCAATACTTGTTTGACTAAATGGTAGTTATATTACGTATTACTTATGAAATGTTGTTTGAAAAGATGATGATGATACCTTTATTACCCGGCACTCCCTGTGACTCAAGATGGGGTATAACATTGTTAAAACAAGAGATAAAACACTCTTAAAACACATACAACACAGTACACAGAATTAAAATAAAAGTTTAAATCCACTGATGAAATGCAGATTAAAATTAAAATTGACTGGGTAGGTCTATTGGAAAAGATGGGTCTCTAGTTGTGTTATTACCCACAGTTGATTTAGCTGTCTCAGCTGTTCTGGCAGGTCATTCCATAGTCTTGGGGCGGTCAATAAAAGAGGTCCTCTGGGTGACAGTCACCAGTCTAGTTGGCTGGAGTAAGCGTCCCCAGAGGACTTCAGTGTTCAAAGGGGTGGATTGTATGGGAAAAGGTGACCCTCTAGGTAACCTGGACCCAAACCATGTTGGGCTTTGAAGGTCAAAACCAACACCTTTTACTTTGCCTGGAAACTAATTGCCAAGCAGTGGAGTGAAAAGATCAATGGACACTCCTTCCCTTTCTCTTAGAATGATGTCAGCCATGAGGATTACTGTTCAGCATGCAAGCATGGTGCCAATCTACAACCCTGTGGGACATGTCCAAGAGCCTATCACCTCAACTGCTTGGACCCACCTTTGAAGACTGCCCCCAAAGGAGTCTGGGTTTGTCCTAAGTGCCAAGAAAAGGTGAGTTAACATATACATCACATGTTCCAACTAAAATCTAAGGCAGTGGTTCTCAACCTATGGGTCCCCAGATGTTTTTGGCCTTCAACTCCCAGAAATCCTAACAGCTGGTAAACTGACTGGGATTTCTGGGAGTTGTAGGCAAAAAATCATCTGGGGACCCCACGTTGAGAACCACTGATCTAAGGTATGKGTTGCCTGCAACGTGGATAATAGATGCAAAGACTGGTGTGTAATATTTTCCCCTTCACATTCATATGTCTAAGAAACCTTATGATCCCAATCCAGTTTATTTTCATTGTCATGACCCCRTTTTCTATTTCAAAGGAAGTCATGRTACAGAAGTCCGTTGGTACTTCAAGGCTGGGAAGAAAGGGTTGGAACTTATTTAAATGTAAAAGTAACTTATAAGTAACTTTGTTGCCAATTTATTTTTAATTATAATGTTGTAATTCTGTCTTCTTAACAAAGAAGGTAATGTGTTACCCGTAATGTTACCTCAAACTCTGTACTTCTGAGCTCTATTTATATAAATAAAAATGTTATGTTCMTTTGTGGGATTAACATAACTCAAAAACCATTGGACAAATTGACACCAAATTTGGACACAATACACCTATCAGGCCAACGAGTGACCATCACTCATAAAAACACTGTAAAAGACAGCAGAAGAGACTTAAAAAGCAAAACAAAAACATTACAACGCACACACAAAACCATATATATATATATATATATATATATATATATATATATGCAAACAAACATATATACACATACACACAAATATATACACACATATAATAATAATAATAATAATAATAATACTTTATTTATACCCCGCTCCATCTCCTCTAGGGGGACTCGGGGCGGCTTACGTGAGGCCACACCGATCAGTACAATAAACACAATATTACACAAAAGCATAACATAACCAGAAAATAAAATACATAAAATGCAAAACCAATATAATAGACGACACAACAAAACATTAAAACACAAAAGAAATTACACTGGGCAGGGCCAGATTCAAAGATAAAAATTTTAAATTACTGGGAGATAGGGCAATATAAAAATGTCGGGAAGGGGGATTTCATTTCACAGACCATAAAATAAGTGCTTCTGAGGTCATTTTATGCAAAATTTGGTCAGGGAGTGTCTTACATTCAATCATTGAAGGCACATTGGAATATACACACAAAAGACATGTACACAGACTGGGCCACAGCAACGCATGGCAGGGGACAGCTAGTGATTGATAAATGTATGTATGCGTATTGAGGGACTACATGTATTTTGATGACTCCAAATACCTTGCGCTTGTGTGCATGGTTGTTCCATCAATGCAGATTGCAACTGTTCCACATCACCAAGTTATTCTGAAGTGACTTCAAAAAATAAATAATTTGCTTGTTTGTAATGAGTTTAGCTAGTACTCAAGTGCCAGAAACAAAGTCTGCCACCAACTCTATACTTAAAACCTTAGCACTTAAACAGAAGCTGACATGTTTTTGCTCCACTGTCATAGTTTTCAAACGCCCAGGGCCATCATCCCATGTTAAAGTAGCAGAGTTTGGAGCAGATATGGGCAAACCCCGGTCCGCAGGCCGAATGCGGCCCCTTGGGCTCTTTTCTCGGGCCTCCTCTCTCTCATCTCTGCTGAGAGGAAGGCTGGGCCAGTCACATGTGACCCCAGCACCAGTCCCGGAAAGGGCCTCTTCTTGGCATGTACCTTGGCCTCCACCGCCATGGGACTCAGCTGCTCTTTGCTTACTCACTCCCCTTCTTCTGGGTCTCTGCACTTGGTGACGAAAGTGGCTCCTCTTCCACTTCTTCTTCCTCCTCCTTCACCATCATCTCTATCTTCAAGGGCAAATTCCCTCTCAGAAAGCTGGTCCAAGGAGTGTGCCTTCAGGAGGCAGCCCATGCTACTTCACAAAGAAGAGCAGGAGGAGGGATGGGAAGTAGAACCCTGAGCAGCTACATTTGATATGCCCTACAGGCACATGTGGCTGCCCTGGGCTCTCCTTCCCTCCTTTGGAGCTCTGTGAGCCTTTGGAGCAGCAGCAGTAGTCGTTAGAGTAAAGATGGATATGTATTGTGGAAGGCTTTCATGGCCGGAATCATTGGGTTGTTGTAGGCTTTTCGGGCTGTATGGCCAAGTTCTAGAAGCATTCTCTCCTGATGTTTTGCCTGCATCTGTGGCAGGCATCCTCAGAGGTTGTGAGGAAAGCCCCTGAGGATGCCTGCCATAGATGCAGGCATCCTTAGAACATGGCCATACAGCCCAAAAAACCTACAACCACCCAAAGATGGATGACTTTTTCTAAGAAACAATGTCTTGGGGAGTCTTACAGGCAAGGATACACACAACCTAATAATTTATATAAATAAAAATGTAATGTTCGTTTGTGGGATTAACATAACTCTAAAACTACTGAATGAATTGACACCAATTTTGGACACAATCCACCTCTCAGACCAACAAGTGACCATCACTCATAAAAACACAAAAACACAGCAGAAGAGACTTAAAAAGCCAAAAGCCAAAAAAATACATTACAACGCATGTACAAAGCCACATATATAAACACAAACACACATATATACACAAATATATACACACACACAACACACATACACAGACTGGGCCACAGCAACGCGTGGCAGGGGACGGCTAGTAGTAGTAGTAGTAGTAGTAGTAGTAGTAATAATAATAATTTATCATTTAAAGCAATAGCATATGATTTAGACATGCTCTTGAATTGTTCACATCTGTTATTCCCTGAAACCTGCAGGTGTTAAAGAAAGAGGAAAACATGCCTTGGACTGGAACTCTGGCTATCGTTCAGTCCTATGTTACTCATAAAACAGGTATGTGCTGGTGTGAAGGATTATAAGAAATGATTTCTCAAGTGTCAGCAACTTCAGAATTGGAATAGCCTCAGGGGGTGGATTGCAAGCATCTTAGAAGAAGCCATCATCACAAGACATGAGTAGCTGTCTGGCCAGAGTTCACTGATTACTATTCTCACACATTATCTAAATGAGAGTTTGCATGCTTGGATGCAGCCCAATCATTTCTTAGCGTACTTTACGTTTTTCATTTCGGCTTTAGAAAAGAGAAACGGGAGGGCAGCCTGTTAACCAGCTATTTGATCATGTAGGAGACTTCTGCTCACTAATGACTTTGCTCTTTTGTGCTTCGTCCCAACCTGAACAATGCTCCAGAGAGCAGCGTTTAACTTTTCCCATTCAAATGAATGACAGGCATTAATTCCTAGGGTAGGGTATATAAAGCATTGTGTAGCTGAAGGAAAATCAAGTCTCCATCTCAGTTTTGTGTTCAATGTAGTCCTTCATTTTTTTCTCATTGAGGTCAGCTCACGCTTGGTTTGTGAGCAGTAGGTACATTGTTCTGTCTATTCCGGATAGTGGGCAGCTTGCCTTTGGGTTAGATATTACTGGCATGAGGACAGTTTCTGTACAAGGGATGTGAAAACCTGTTTAAAGAAAGAGAGAGGGGGCAGGGGACAGTTCCATCTTGTCTCCTGCACATGTCATCAGTTGGGGACCCCTCCCCCCAGCACTAACTGCCACTCTGGGTCAGAGTGAAGAGAGAAGGGGTCAGGGGACAGTTCCATCCTGTCTCCTGCATATGTCATCAGTTGGGGGCCCCTCCCTCCAGCACCAAGCACCACACTGGGCCAGAGTGGAGAGGGGGCCAGGGGACAGTTCCATCTTGTCTCCTGCATATGCCATTAGTTGGGTACCCCTCCCCCTAGCACCAAGCGCCACTCTGGGCCAGAGTGAAGAGATAGGGGGCCAGGGGACAGTTCCATTTTGTCTCCTGCACATGTCATCAGTTGGGGGCCCCTCCCCGCAGCACCAACTTCCGCTCTGGGCCAGAGTGAAGAGAGGGGGTCAGGGGACAGTTCCATCTTGTCTCCTGTATATGCCATCAGTTGGGTACCCCTCCCCCCCTGCACCAAGCGCCACTCTGGGCCAGAGTGAAGAGAAAGGGGGGCAGGGACAGTTCCATCTTGTCTCCTGCACATGTCATCAGTTGGGGGCTCCTCCCCCCAGCCCCAATTTCCGCTCTGGGCCAGAGTGAAGAGAGGGGGCGAGGGGACAGTTTAATCTTGTCTCCTGCATATGTCATCAGTTGGGGACCCCTCCCCCCAGCACCAACTTCCGCTGTGGGCCAGAGTGAAGAGGGGGGGCCAGGGGACAGTTCCATCTTGTCTCCTGTGCTATTCTGATAATATAATGTAATATAATATAATATATTGTATATACATATAGTATTTATAATATTATAATGTAATGCAATATAATATGAATAATATATTAATTATATATGTCTATTACATGTAATATTGCTAATAATATTACAATATAATGGTATAGTACAATATAGTTTAATACTGATATTGAACTATGCTAATAATATAATATATTGTATGTATATATATCTTATAAGCCGCTCTGAGTTACCTTCCGGGTGAGAAGGGCGGCATATAAATGTTGTAAATAAATAAATAATATATCGGTACCTTCTGGGCAGAGTGCAACAGCCCCAACCCAGGGGTGGATAATCCACTGTGTTTATAATATCCTTTGCTATATCTCCTTCAAGTTGAATTATTCATATTTTAGGCATAATTGGTCATTTGCTTAATATATTCAACAGTAATTGCAAATGTTTTTTTTTTTTTAAACTGTATGGCTTAGAACAGGGGTGTCAAACCCATTTTCACCAAGGGCTACATCAGCTTTATAGTTGGCTTCAAAGGACCATTTGTAATTGTAAAACTATATAAATGTTGTTGTCGAAGGCTTTCATGGTTGGAATCACAGGGTTCGAATCTGGGGAGAGCAGGTTGAGCTCCCTCTGCCAGCTCCAGCTCCCCATGCGAGGACATGAGAGAAGCCTCCCAGAAGGATGGTAAAACATCAAACACCCGAGCATCCCGTGGGCAGCGTCCTTGCAGACGGCCAATTCTCTCACATCAGAAGCGACTTGCAGTTTCTCGAGTCGCTCCTGACATAAGGAAAATGTATTCTGTTGCTTTTGTTTCACAGTCAAAGAAGAGCAGAAGAGGAAATTATTGAAGAGGAACAGTGAATTGAGAGGAGAACACAGGCAGCTAGAAGATAAAGAATGCCACCTCAATAATGCAGTGAAGGTATACTGCTATGTGTTAGTTTGTGAAATTGGTTAATCATGTGTGATATTTGAAATTGTGTGGCATTACCAATGTTACAATTACATGTAAACAAATCTGATACTTTTCTCTAAATTCAGACAGTGGCAGAAAGAAGGTCTACTACTGGAAAGCACTTTTAAGAAGGTTGCTGCAATTCAGTATATCTAGTTGTGTTTAAATACTTTCATTTCAGTAGGACTACCACTGTACTAGATTGTGTGGTAGAGAAATGTGTTGGGTCTTAAAAGCAATTTTCTGAACTTAAGCTATTCCAAGGACTACATGATCCTGCAAAAATGCTCCCAAATAATAGCAGTTTTGAGGTTTTAAGCAGTGAAAGAACCCCGTGCAACCTGTTGAAAGCTGAGCTGCAATTCTAGAACTGGCCCAAATTTGAATACTGGTGGGGTTGGTGGGATTGATTTTGTCATTTGTTGGGATTTGTAATTAACCTACAATCAAAGAGCATTCTGAACTCCACCAACGATGGAATTGAACCAAACTTGGCACACAGGACTCCTAAGACCAACAGAAAATACTGAATGGGTTTGGTGGGCATTGACTTTGAGTTTGGGAGTTGTAGTTCACCTACATCCAGAGAGTACTGTGGACTCGAACAATGACTCATCTGGACCAAACTTGGCTTAAATACTCAATATGCCCAAATGTGAACACTGATGGAGTTTGGAAAAAATAGACATTGACATTTGGGAGTTATAGTTCCTGGGATTTATAGTTAACATACAATCAAAGAGCATTTTGAACTCCACCAATGATGGAACTGAACCAAACTTGGCACACAGAACTCCAATGACTAACAGAAAATACCGAATGGGTTTGGTGGGTATTGACCTTGAATTTTGGAATTGAAGTTCACCTACATCCAGAGAACAATGTGGACTCAAACAATGACAGATCTGGACCAAACTTGGCATGAATACTCAATATGCCCAAATGTGAACACTGATGGAGTTTGGAGAAAATAGACCTTGACATTTGGGAGCTATAGTTCCCGGGATTTATAGTTAACCTACAATCAAAGAGCATTCTGAATTCCACCAACGATGGAATTGAATTAAACTTGGCACACAGAACTCCAATGACTAACAGATAATACTGAATATGTTTGGTGGGATCGACCTTGAATTGTGGTGTTGTAGTTCACCTACATCCAGAGAGCACTGTGGTCTCAAACAATGACAGATCTGGACCAAACTTGGCACAAATACTCAATATGCCCAAATGTGAACACTGGTGTCATTTGGAGAAAATAGACCTTGACATTTGGGAGTTATAGTTCCTGGGATTTATAGTTCACCTACAATCAAAGAGCATTCTGAAACCCACTGATAATAGGAGTGGGCCAAACCTCCCACACAGAACCGCCATGCCTTGAAGGAACTCCCTCCAGCCCCACATGCTCTCCCATCGCCTGTACATGCGCATCACATGTACATCCAGAGAGTACTGTGGACTTTTATATTGTTATGTATTCATATGTGTTATGTAATTATGATGTTGTTGTTTATTGTTTGCGTTTTTGGTTTTATTCTGTTGTAATTTGTTGTCTGTGCTTGGCCCCATGTAAGCCGCCCCGAGTCCCCAGCGGGGAGATGGTGGCGGGGTATAAATAAAGTATTATTATCATCATCATCATCATCATCACACTGCCATGCGCCAAGCATGCCTGCTCTCTCCTCCTCACTCGGAGTCTCAGAAATAGTGCTCCCCTTAGTTGAGAGGCTGAAGTTGAAATGTTTTATTTGTACCTCCAGCTCTAAATCAGTGGGAATTTCTTACTAAGATGTGAAATTGGATAGACATCAGAATTAGAAAATGAAAAGTGTGCACACTTCATTGTTGAAATGGAGGTTTTGGCTGGAGACGGCAGAAATACAGTTTTAAATAAAGATCTAAACTGATGACAGCAATTAAAATATGCCACAAAATAGCTTACTTCTTGAGGTTTTCATTAGATTAAAATGGGGCGACTGAGAGGCTAGATTCAATAAAACACAATTAAATTAAAAAGCAATTGAATGTAATGGGATGCTAAGAGACCAAGGGATAAACGGACCCTGCACATTACAGTACAAAAGGCTACATTTCAAAATTGTATATTAAACTTTAAAATATAATTATTTCAAATATGCATTGGGGAGGTTTTACTTTCACTATATGTGTAAAAGTATATGCCTCTGTTTGATGACAACATTCATGGCTTTTTATCTAGACACTACATATTCCACATCCTACACAAAGCGTTAACTGGATTTTATTTTGACATAATGGTTGTTCCATCCTTATTTCAACAAGCTCATGTCACACAACGTGTGTCTGTACCTGTCTTATAGGGATACAGTCAGAAATAATATCTGTAAACTTGTTTGTATACATGTTGGTAGCAACAGAAATTATTCAGTTTCACCCCTTTCCTGTATTACAATAATTATTAATAAGCACTAATTGCATGTCTCCCGGTCTCCTCTTCCTGTCTTGCACACGGCATCATGGGAGCCTTGGGGCATGTCATGATAGCTGAAAAATGTTAGAGGAGGCTTTCTGTGCCCTGTGTGTAATGATGCCTTTGTGCTAGAGCACAAGGTCTGCTGTATTTGAGATTATGCATATTTAGAATTGGCACAAGGTTGGCATGAAATTGATTATTTTTTGTTGCCCACGATTTGCGTAAGATATTCATAGGAAGACAATGCAGCTTGGCATCCTTCAGAGAGGAATGTCGCTCAAGTAGTGGTATGCGGAATTTAAGCCAAAGTATTTGGTTGAAAAATGTGTTTCAAACTTGTTTTCTCCGAATGGCTTGTCATCGTTGGGTTGAGACAATGAACCCCCCCGCTTTAGCCCTTCATTCCATACACACACATACACACACACATATATATGACACTAGCCGTACCCTGCTACACATTGCTGTGGCCTAGTCGGTGTATATGTTTTGTGTGCGTATATGTGTGTGTATTTGTGTATATGTGTATAAATGTGTGTTTGCATGTGGTTTTGTGCATGCATTGTAATGTAATTTTTATTTTTTGCCTTTTAAAGTCTCTTCTGCTGTGTTTTTCAGTGTTTTTATGAATGATGGTCACTCGTTGGCCTGATAGGTGTAGTGTCCAAATTTGGTGTCAATTTGTCAAGTGGTTTTTGAGTTATGTTAATCCCACAAACAAACATTACATTTTTATTTATATAGACTAGCCATGCGTTGTTGTGGCCCAGTCTGGTGATGAGAAAGTGTTGGTTTCTAATACATGTAATTTCTTTATGCTTGTGGGTAAACAGTATTTCGTGCTGTTTCTTTGTCAGTGTTGATGTGGAGAGTGTCTGGTTTGCCTACTCTGGAACATACAACATATAATTGTCCTTCTTTAGGGATCCCTTTCAAATCTATATCTCTCTGTGTGAATCATATCTGTCTATCTATATCTATGGCTGGATGGCTCTTTGTCAGGAGGTCTTTGATTACATTTCTTTCCTTGGTGAAGGGAGTTGGGCTGGATGGCCTTAATTATTTTCTGTTGGTCCTGGGGGTTCCGTGTTGGAAGTTTGCCCCAGTTCCGTCATTGGTGGGGTTCAGAATGCTCTTTGACGTAGGTGAACTATAAATCCCAGTAACTGTAACTCCCAAATGTGAATGTCTATTTTTCCCGAACTCCATCTGTGTTAATATTTGGGCATGTGAAATATTCGTGCCAAGTTTGGTCCAGAACTATTTTTGTTTGAGTCCACAGTGCTCTCTGGATGTGGGTGAACTACAACTCCCTAACTCAAGGTCAATGTCCACCAAAACCTTCTAGTATTTTGTTGGTCATGGGAGTCCTGTGTGCCACATTTGGTTCAATTCCATCATTGGTGGAGTTCAGAGTGCTCTTTGATTGTAGGTAAATCCCAGCAACTACAACTCCCAAATGACAAAATTAATTTTTTGAGTGATGGTCACTCCTTGGGTTAGTAGGTGTCTTGTGGCCAAATTTGGTGGCAATTTGTCGAGTGGTTTTTGAGTTATGTTAATCCCACAAATGGACATTACATTTTTATTTATATAGATCAGGCCCACCCCTTGTGATATCAACTCTTTTTGAGTAGCCAATGTTTTATCTGTTGGCGATACACACAACGAAGAATTAAGCAAACAGCTAGCATTCAATTCACCTTGAGTTGTAGAAACGGTATACGGATTGATCTGTTTAGTCAGAATGAGCATACAAAGTGAAATAGGTCAGTTTGTGGTCTGGGAAGACTGAAGCTGAAAGCATGCTTCAGATTGTTTAACTGTTGTATTATCCCGTAGTACAAACATGCATATAATAAACATAAAATTGTAAGTATTGAGTAGGAATAAATGTTTTGAGAAAAAAAAACGTATTTTTTAATACTGGAAATTCACTTTCACTATATGAGTTGCACACACTCCATGTCGCATTGCAAATTGCTTTCAAAGTCCCTTCATTTCCGAGGTGGCCTCTCCTGAAGAACTAGGATTTTGGGGGCAGGGAGAGAGAGCTGTAATTTGAGAAATACCCCTGGGGCACATCGAATTAATTGTGCTGTTCTTTGGATGCTAGCCAACCGAGACGTGAATAAAAATCCAACCCCCCCCCCCCCTTTGTAATCCTGGGCATTAATTCAGATTCCAGCATGCTTTTGACTCTACTCCCCCATCTTCAGTGTAATTCGCAAGGGAGAAGGGAGCCTAGGATCCCAGCTCAAGCGCTCCCATTTAGCCACCCTGGCAATGCCAAGACACTTAAAGACACTGACATTGATGAGCTGTTTGCCATAGTTTTTAAAAATTAAGTTCTGTAACCTCTACCATTATATTACAGAAGTATTAGAGAAACAAAATCGACAAAGAGATTACATACTCTTCCGGTATCCATCTTAGTCTCCGATTTATATCTTTCTCCTTATTTCCCGCCCCACTTCCTCTCCCCCTCTCTTATCTCCCTCTGGGAACATTTGAGATTCAATTTAGGCTTTTATTCTATTTGCTGGATCGTGGAGATGTGCCTTGTATTTTCTTTTCACCTTCACTTTGGCTATCAGTTCTCTCCAATTTGAGACCTAGTTATCCATAAGATATCCATTTATATATTTATTTTTCCTTTCAATGATACAATCCTGGAGCATCTCGTCGGCTAAATTTTCATACCATTTTTAAAAATTTGGCTCTATTTTTAGCCCCGATATTTCTTCCATTTCACCCTTTATTTTTTGTATCTTATCACATTCCCACCACATATGCATAAAGGTTACTATTTCACCACATGTATGCCAACATAATTTTGTTGTGTTTTTGGTAATATGGCTGAATTGGTAAGGGGTTCTATACCATTTTGTARGAMGGTTGAATGAAAAGTAATGCCTCCACCTTCATTACTTGGGTTTGGATGGGAATATTTTAATAAATTAAACGCAGAAATAATCCTTAGAATGTGTTCTTAAACTACCACTGTTCACTTTTCCACATAATCACCAGACCATTGGATACATTTCTGCCAACYATGAACAAGTTTTCTCAAGCCGTCACGGAAGAAGTCTGTGCACTTTCATTTCAGGGGTCAGCATTCTGGGTACTCATCGTGCACAGATTTTCCAAAAGCCAAGCAAAGCATTAATGTGACCTACACATTCTTGCYAAATGCCGATTATGCTTGAAATTTGGGGTGACACCTTCTGCTGTCAAGAACTCAATGACTGCACATTGCTTAAGTCGCATTGACCGACCGTCTGRGAAGGGTTCCATAATTTGCACTTTAATTGCTAAAGCTTCCCACCAAAATGGAACTGTAGAGGAGAGTCTACTGAACAAGCCAGTACCTGCTGCATACCAGTACTATCCCTAAACGGTTTGGGACCCACCTACCTGCGTGACTACATCTCCATATATGAACCCACACGTTCCCTTCGATCATCTGGAGAGGCCCTGCTCACGATCCCACCTGCAAGCGCGTTTGGTGGGGACGAGGGACAGGGCCTTCTCTGTGGTGGCCCCCCGACTCTGGAACTCTCTCCCCAAGGACATCAGACAAGCCCCAACATTGGCAATCTTTAGGAAAAGCCTGAAGACCTGGCTGTTCCAGTGTGCCTTTCCAGATTAGGAAACTCCTGGCATCATGTCCCAAATGCACTTTGTTAGAGACTAGGATTGTCTGCACATTGCACCTACCTCCAAAAAACCTCTACATACCTCCTGTCAAGTTCAGCACTTTTAAATTTTGTCCATTACATTTGGCCCGGCCTTTTAGATTTAAATGCATCATGTGTAATTGTTTTTAGTGTTTTATTGTCTTGCTTGATGTTTTATTATTTGCTTATGAGTTTTACTGTTATATTTGTATGTTGTTGTTTGTTGCGGCCTCAGCCTTTGTAAGCCGCATCGAGTCCTTCGGGAGATTTTCGGGTATAAATAAAGTTAATAATTAATAATAATAAATAATCTGTTGAGTTATGAAGGTGGAGGCATTACTTTTCATTCAACACCCGTATTTTCTGTTGTATTTCCTTAATTCTTAGGTGTTTGCTTTTTTAATTGAGTAAATCCACAAATTAATGTCCTTCTGATTACTATTTATTTCCTCCTTCTATACTTTGATTAGTGTACATTTCAATTTGTATTGTTTTTCTATTAATTTATTATATATATATATATGAATCCCATAATTCCTTGCTTTTTGTTTGCCGTAGGAGGGACATCCAACTGAACGTGTGCTGACTCTTTTCTCCCCGTTTCTCTTTTGACAGAAGTGCTTAGAGCTCAAAAGCAGCCTACTGGCCCAGCAGAAAGGGGTCCAGTCCTCACTGGAGCGCCTCAAAACTCTGGTTAGACTGATACAGAGTGAGCAGATGATTCAGGTTACAATGACAACCACCACCACCTCCTCCCTGCTCACTGTCCCCTGGATCAAACCGTCTCCTGCCTCAGCCACCGCTCTCCACAAAGCCTTGCAGCCCACGCAGGGGAACAACTGACAGGCTGCCCAGGGGCCCCGTTTCTCATTACGAACAAATACAACACAGAGACAAAACGTGATCTTGGGATACATGCAGACACACACACACACATGTAATGTTGATGGGGAAACGACAAATTGTATCATGAAAGAAAATCAGGAGAATCGATGTCGGACCGCTTTTATCGCATCCGGACATTGGGGGAACCATTTGGTCCAATGTTACAACTCAGTGTCATGGCAACTTTTCACCGAGCAGATGTCCCGCTGCAGTTTTCTATTGCTGAGATTTTCAGCGTTTAGAATCTTCTTTTCTTCTCTTTCTCTCTGTCTCCCGATCTCTCTCTTGTTGTGTTGGCCTTAATGTATTTAATGAATGAGGAAAATGAAGCAGCATATGTCAGCCGGTGAGGAAGGGGGAGGATGGGACGGAGTGACCTTTGAAAATGCTTTCCTTTTGGAAGGAAAAAAATAGTTTTAAATACAAAGAATTAGTGAGCTAGTATGCAAAGTAGATGGTAGAGTCGGAGGAAAAAAATGGAGATGGGTAACAAAAATGAAAAGCGAACGGCTTGGAACTTAGTTTGAGTTTCCGAGTTTTTAAACAAAACGGAATAAAGTATGTTGTGTCGATTCAGGTTGAACTGGGGAAGGGGCTGATGGAGAAGAATTACATTTGTGGAACACTCACAGAGCCTTCAAAATCAAATCATTTTTTCAGTATTATAGTTGAGAATTACAGATATTTAAATAAAAAAATGTATGAAATTAGCATTTCTAGTGAAATATTGAGGTATTTTCATGCTGATGCTTCTGTATATGCATTCTAAAGTATTTAAAGAGGTATGCCTGCAAAAAAAACCCGTACTTTTGCAGGTTCTTTCAACTTATTTTGCTATTGATGTATTTTTCTCATGGAGTTTTTTGTGGAAGGTTTAACATAAACCATAATAGTGACAAATATCTTCAGCAGGTTGGGTCTTTCTTGGTTTGGGATGGGTTAGGTTTTTTTTTAAAGAAAGAAAGCAAATAATATTTGTTGCTGCTTTTTTTCCTGTCAAGATAGTACAAATGAGATGCCAAAAACTTTACATGTTTGTACTGCATTTTTATTGTAAAATAAGAAATATGTAACACGTTTTTTTTCTCTTCCTTTTCTTGCTTGCAGAATTATCTGCTGAGTAGTACAGGAAATAAACTGCCTCAAGAGGTTATTTCTTTTAGTTGATATATCAGGAGTTTTCGAGGGAGAAATATGGGCTGTCAAATTCCAATTAATGTTTTAACATTTTTTTTTATAATTTTACTAAATTTAACCATACATAATACATTTAGCATTGGCCTGAGAAAATGCTTAGAGAATGTGACTTTATTTAATTTGATTTCTTTTTCACTAGCTAGTTTTCCTGATGCATCAAGGATCAATTTGACCACCTCATAAGGTCAAGTCTATGCTGGAACCCTGAGGCCTACCTCAGAAGTTAGTGATGGGCAAACAAATTTCTTTTCAGAATAGCGTTCCCATATTCTCCTTTTTTCTCAATACGAGGAGAACACCAGTAAGTAGGAGCGCTATTTCAGATTCTAGGAGAGAAGTTAGATTTAAGATCTAGAGCAGTGGTCCTCAAACTATGGCCCGGGGGCCAGATACGGCCCTTCAAGGTAATTTACCCGGCCCACGCTCAGGGTCAACCTAAGTCTGAAATGACTTGAAAGCACATAACAACAATCCTATCTCATCAGCCAAAAGCAGGCCTACATTTCCCATTGAAATACTAATAAGTTTATATTGGTTAACATTGTTCCTCATTTTAATTATTGTATTGTTTTTAAGTGTTTTTACACTACAAATAAGATATGTGTAGTGTGCATAGAATCATAGAATCAAAGAGTTGGAAGAGACCTCATGGGCCATCCAGTCCAACCCCATCCTGCCAAGAAGCAGGAATATTGCATTCAAATCACCCCTGACAGATGGCCATCCAGCCTCTGCTTAAAAGCTTCCAATAGAAGGAGCCTCCACCACAAATTATAATCCAGCCCTTCAACAGTTTGAGGGACTGTGACCTGGCCCTCTGTTTAAAACATTTGAGGACCCCTGATCTAGAGGTTTGCTCTTGGGTATAAAGGTAAAGACTTCCCCTTGACATTAAGTCTAGTTAAGTCCCACTCTGGGGGGCGGGGCTCACCTCCATTTCTAAGCTGTAGAGCCAGCGTTGTCTATAGACACCTCCTAAGTCATGTGGCCAACATGACTGCATGGAGCGCAGTTACCTTCCCGCCGAAGTGGTACCTATTGATTTAGTCACTTTCGCATGTTTTTGAATTGCTAGGTTGGCAGAAGCTGAGGCTAACAATGGGGGCTCACCCGGTCCCTCGGATTTGAACCACCAACCTTCCAGTCAGTAAGTTTTGCAGCATAATCCGCTGCGCCACAACCCCTGCTCTTGGATATAGTTAATAGTGTAATCCTATATGGACCTACTCCAAACTAAATCCCATCGAATCTTTAAAAAAGTATTCCCAATATGTTTATTTAGGATGGCAATTTAAATTAAAAAGTATTGTAAGATCATTTGTTAAGTTTAGCCTTTAGCCATTCCCTATTAGAGCGATTTGATCCACCAAAACATGTTTTATTGCTTTAAACAAAGGAAACAACCCCCTCCCTTAAAACACAAAGCCACTTCATTGTTTTTAGACCGCCTGTTGAACCAGTTAGCCAGAACTTTAAGTGCTCCTGAGAAAGAATCGCATGTGGTCAAAAAAGGAAGGACAAAGAGTAAGATGTTTTCCTACTCTCCCTACATAACACTCTGATGTTTAGGCAGGTCAAAAGTAAGCCTTTTTCCAAATGCCGCAGGTGAAACATTCACACTAGTCTATCACATGGTGCCGAAAAGTCAAGGGATGTGGCTTTTGACGGATTGATTGGCGTTGCCCATCACTAGGCAGCACACAATCCCTTCAACCATTTTCACAACTCCGGGAGAAACTGTGCAGTACTATACAAATCTATTTTAATACACTTAACACTCTGTTGAACAAGATTTTTATATTCTTTTATTGATGAACAAAAGTGAACTAAGTAAAACATGGTTGTGATACATTGGTTATTGTATGCCAATTTATGCATTCAAATGTGGCTTGCAATGTAAATGTTTTCAGGTTTAATGGTTCTTTTTCCCCCTTCTCAAATGAATTTTAAAAAGAAAAGGAAAAAGCACAGAAAGTTGACTTAATGTGAAGACTTTCTGAAGAAGTGTTTTTCTGGGACTGAAAAAAAAGTAGTTATTTTGGAAAAGGGACTGTCCCGTGGATAGTGTGCATAGAAAACAAAGTGTGTGTCTTAAATATACCAATGTAGTTTACTTCTTTATGATGAATTAAACTTGACTGACAGATTTAATATTGGTGTGGTCACTGAAGTGTATATCCTGCTACAAGACATTCATTTTGTCACCTAACAAAGGAATTGTGTTGTCCTTGTTTGTTGTCCAAATATTTCCTGCTGGGGTTAAAAAGATCATTCAATTGCCATGCATTGGACCCCAGTCAACTGCACTCAGATAAACTCTGTACTACACATTAGGCTTGGCTGATCAAAAAAAAATGTTCAAAACTCACTGGTGGTTTGATTCGGAATTTAATTCTGAATTTTTCCCAAAAAATATTCGGAACTTTCCGAATTGCTTCGTTAATGGTGGATGCGATTGCACAATACGCGAAAAACAGCAAATGGCACTGGGCAAACTTCATGGGATTATCTCTCTCTCATTTTTAGACCTATATTGACAAAACTTGCCACTGTGGTAGAAAACATCCTCCTCTGTCAGCATACCAAATATCAACATGTTCAGACGATCCATGGGTTTTAGACAATTTTTAAAGGAATTTAAGTAATAAGGTATATTATAAAGCAACTAAGGACACAAACAGCAGGGAGAGGCCTTTTTGGCTTTTTGAAGTTGATGTCACACCTTTAGGAAGGAAATATTTTGACTATATGGGATTTCTAGTGTCTCCTCAGTAGGAACACAAAGAAACTAAGGACACAAACAGCAGGGAGAAACCTTGGCTTTTTGAAGCTGATTTCACTACTTTAGGAAGGATAATATTTTGATGTATTTGGCAATGCAAGGCAAACTGAGGAAACAAACTGCACCCTCACACCCCAATATTACCCATGCATCGGCCACCCATCCCAAACCTCAACAGCAAAAACACACAAGCGGTTACAAGGCAGCCAGCCAAGCAGGTCACAGCCCTTCCCCCTATCCTGGTTCTCTGCTGCCCTACTCTTCAGCCCCCCCCCCCCAACAGCAACAACACACAAGCGGCTGCAAGGCAGGCAGGCAACAGCCCTGCTCCCAGCCCTTCTCCACTTGCCCTGCTCTTCCAGCCACTCTTCTCACAACCTCCCTTCACTTTCTCTTTCCCCTTCCCTTACCAGGCTCACAATGAGCCTATGAGCCATGTGCTGCCCTTTATCTAGCGCAATGGCTGCCGTGCCAAAACCCCGCCCCTCCCCTCCCCAAAACTTCTCCCCTCATTGGCTGGGAGGTAAGCATCCCAGCATGCAAGCTGCTTGCCTCCAAACAATGAGTCACTTCCAAATCACTCCCTGAGTCGGAAGAAAAATGGCGAGAGAAGCTTCGGAAGGGTAAAGGGACTTCCGGTTTTCTTAAAAACTTCAAAATTGCTTCAAAAAGGTAATTTTACTGACTTTATCCTGAATTATGAAGATTCTGACAATACCTAGCCATGCCTACTACAGATCAATAGTTCCCAACCTTTTTTTTTTATCAGGGACCACTTTGACCAGGGGCCGCTCTGCAACATTATTACCAAAAGGGTTACAAATCCGTTTTTGGTCAACTTTAGATTTGGTTTGGTTATTTGATTTGCCGATTCAGAAAATTGCATTAAATAGTCCACATCAGCACTAGTTTCTGATACAGAACATATGCCATTTGCCAATTCAGAAAATTGCAATAAATAGACCACATCAGCACTAGTTTCTGATACAGAAAATATGCTATATATCACTTCAAGGATACCATCCATCCATCTTGCCCTTGGTCGGCCCTCTTCCTTTTTCCTTCCATTTTTTAAAAAAAATTGATGATGTTGTTATTCGCTGTTTATGTTTTGATTTTATTGTTGTAATATGTTGTCCGGGCTTGACCCCATGTAAGCCGCTCCTAGTCCCCATCGGGGAGATGGTGGCGGGGTATAAATAAAGATTATTATTATTACTATTATTATTATTATCTTGCCCTTGGTCAGCCCCTCTTCCTTTTTCCTTCCATTTTCCCCAGCATCGTCTTCTCTAAGCTTTCCTGTCTTCTCATGATGTAGCCAAAGTACTTCATCTTTGCCTCTAATATTCTTCCCTCCAGTGAGCAGTCAGGCTTTATTTCCTGAAGTATGGACTGGTTGGATCTTCTTGTGGTCCAAGGCACTCTCAGAATTTTCCTCCAACACGACAGTTCAAAAGCATCTATCTTCTTTCGCTCAGTCTTCCTTAAGGTCCAGCTCTCACATCCGTAGGTTACTACGGAGAATACCATTGCTTTAACTATGCGGATGTTTGTTGCCAGTGTGATGTCTCTACTTTTTACTATTTTATTGAGATTGGTCATTACTCTCCTCCCAAGAAGTAAACGTCTTCTGATTTCCTGGCTGCAGTTTGTATCTGCACAAATCTTTGGACCTAGAAATCAAAGTCTGTCACTGCCTCCATGTTTTCTTCCTCTATTTGCCAGTTGTCAATTAGTCTGGTTGCCCGAATCTTGGGTGTCCCTTCACGGTTTTGCTTGTGGCATTACTGAGGTGTTCAAGCTCCGGTGCCTTGTCAACAGAGTATACATCAGTGGTTCTCAACCTGGGGTCCCCAGATGTTTTTGGCCTACAATTCCCAGAAATCCTAACAGCTGGTAAACTGGCTGGGATTTCTGGTA